AGAGAGTCACGCTTTACACTGAATTTAACCCTTAGACATACTGTACACTTTTATTTCTTGTTGAGACTTATGTTTTTCTACATATTATATACAAATTAGGCCAGTAAATAGGCATTTTCTGGGGCTTGGAACGAATTAATCCAGTTTCCATTATTTCCTATTGGGTTTCATTGCTTCGGTTCTCGAACAATTTGGTTCTCGACCGTCCTCCTGGAACGAATTATGTTCGAGAACCGAGGTATCACTGTATATGCACCCAATATAGGATCACTTAACTCTTGGTGTACTTTAAGGGAGATGTCCACAGCAATTCAGTAATACTTGGGGATTTTAACACTCCACTGACATCACTAGATAGATATTTCAGATAAAAAATAAACAAGTAAACACAGATCTTAAAGAACACATTAGAACAGATTGATTTAATTGATATTACAGAACATTTCATTATGAAGCAACAAAATATACATTCTTCTAAAGTGCACATGGGAAATTCTCAAAGATAGAACACGTTAGGACACAAAATAAGTCAACAAATTCAATAATATTGAAATCATATCAAGCATCTTCTCGTAACACAATGGCATGAAATTAGAAATCAACTACAATAAAAATACTCAAAACATCAAATACATGGAGCCTAATAACATGTTATTAAATAATAAATGAGTTACCAATGGGATCAATGAAGCAAAAAAAAAAAAAAATTACCAGGAAACAAATGAAAATGAACACACACAACCAGGAAACAAATGAAAATGAACACACAACAACCCCAAATTTATGGGACATAGTGAATGCAATCCTGAGATGGAAGTTCATAGCTTTATAGGCCTACCCAAAGAAGAAGAAGAAAAAAAAACTCAAATAAACAATCTAACCCTACACCTAAAAGAACTATAAAAAGAACAATAAGAAAATCCCAGAGTAAGAAGAAGGAAGGAAATAATAAAGATCATAGTATAAATAATGACAAATAAACTAAAAAAACAATACAACAGATCAATGAAAATAAGAGGTGGTTCTTTGAAAAGGTAATCAAGATTGATGAACCTTTAGCCAGACTCATAATGAAACAAAGAGAGAGAATCTAAATAAATAAAATCAGAAATAAAAGAGGAGAAATAACAACTGACATCATAGAAATACAGAAACATTGTAAGAAAATACTATGAATAACTATATGTTAACAAATTGGACAACTTGGGCAAACTGGACAAATTCCTGGAAACATACAATCTTCCAAAACTCAATCAGGAAGAATAAAAAACCCCGACTAGAGAGATACAATTAATGAAATTGAAGCAGTAGTAATAATAATAATAAAAACTCCCAGCAAACTAAAGTCCTGGACAGGATGGCTTCACAGGCAAATTTTACCAAACATTCAGAGAAGAATTAACACCTATCCTCCTCAAACTATTCAAAAATTTCAAGAGGAATGAGAAGACTTTTAAGCTTTTTTATTTTAACTTTATTTATAATGCGGCCAGTATTATCCTAATTCAATAACCAGATTAAAATACTGCCAAAAAAGAAAATTATAGGCCAGTATCTCTGATGAACATAGATGCTAAAATCTTCAACAAAATGTCAGCAAACTTGATTCAGCAATACTTGAAAAAAAAAAGCATACACTATGAGCAAGTGGGATTTATCCCAGGGATGCAAGGTTGGTACCATATTTGCAAATCAATACATATAATACATCACATAAACAAAATGAAAAATAAAAATCATTTATATAAATAGATGCAGAACAAGCATTTGGCAAAATTTAGCACCCATTTATGATAAATACTCTCAGGAAAGTGGGAATAAAGGAATCATATCTCAATATGATAAAGACCATATATGACAAACCTACAGCCAACGTCATGCTCAATGCGTAAATTAACATTTTTTTTTTTAAAGATTAGGAACAAGACAGGGATGTCCACTTTCACCACTCTTATTCAACATAGTACTGGAGGTCTTAGCCACAGTGACCAGACAAGAAGAAAAAATAAAAGAAATCCAAATTGGAAAGGAGGAAGTAATATTGTCATTATTAGTAGTTGACATGACATTGTACATAGAAAACTCTTAAGACTCCAACAAAAACTACTAGATCTAATAAGTGAATTGAGCAATGCAACAGGATATAAAATTAATATCCAGAAATTGGTGACATTTTTATACACCAGTGATGAACTATCAGAAAGAGAAACTAAGAAAACAATCCCATTTACTATTGCAACAGAAAAATGAGGTACCCAGGAATGAACTTAACCAAGTAGGTAAAAGACCTGTACTCAGGCCCTGGCCAGTTTGGCTCGGCGGTTGGAGCGTTGGCCTGCAGTCCAGAGAGACCCGGGTTCGGTTCCCGCTAAGGGCTCATGCCTTGGTTGCGGTCTGTCCCTGGCCCTGGTTGGGTCCTGTGGGTGGTGGCCACTCGAAGTGTCCCTTTCACGTCAATGTTTCTCTGTCTCTCTCTCTCTCTCTCTCCCTCCCACTCTATCTGAACAAAATATCAAAAAATGTCCTCGAGTGAGGATTAAAAAAAAAAGAAAAAAAAAAAGACCTGTATTCAGAAAACTATAGGACATTGAAGAAAGAAACAGAGGAAGATACAATCAAGTGGAAGCATATGCCATATTCATAGATTGAAGAATGAAGACCATTAAAATATCCATACTACTCAAAGCAATCTGTAGAATGAATGCCTATTTAATTCCTATTAAAATACCAATGGCGTATTTCAAAGATATAGAACAAATACTCCAAAACTTTTTATGGGACCAAAAAAGACCTTGAATACCCTCAGCAATCTTGAGAAATAAGAACAAAGTTGGAGGGATCATAATACCAAATATCAAGCTATACTATAAAGGCACTGTAACTAAAACAGCCTGGTACTGGCACAAGAACAGGCATATAGATCAATGGAACAGAACAGAGAACCCAGAAATCAACCCACATCTTTATGGTCAATTAATATTTGACAAAGGTGGCAAGAGCATACAATGGAGTAAGAACAGTTTCTTCAATAAATGGTGTTGGGAAAATTGGACAGGTACATGAAAAAAAAAATCTGGGCCACTAACTTACCCCATACATAAGAATAAGCTCAAAATGAATGAAAGACTTAAATGTAAGCCATGAAACCATAAAAATCCTAGAAGAAAACATAGGCAGTAAAATCTCAGACATCTCTCATAGCAATATTTTTGCCTATATATCTCCTTGGGCAAGAGAAAATATAAATAAATAAATAAATGGGACTACATCAAACTAAAAGCTGCTGCATAGTAAAAGAAACCATCAACAAAATGAAAAGGAAACCCACTGTACGGTAGAACATATTTGCCAATAATATATATATACAAATATATATATACATATATATATTTTTATCCTCACCCGAGGACATTTTTTCATTTTTTGTTCAGATAGAGTGGGAGGGAAAGAGAGGAAGAGAGAGAGAGAGGAACATCGACGTAAAAGGGACACATCGAGTGGCTGCCACCCGCACGACCAACCAGGGCTGGGGATAAACTGCAACTGACAGATATGCGCCCTTAGTGGGAACTGAACCCGGATCTCTCTAGACTGCAGGCCGACGCTCTAACTGCTGAGCCAAACCGGCCAGGGCCCAATTATATATTTTATAATTTTCAAAATACATAGAGAATTTAACACCAGGAACACCAATAATTCAATTAAGATGGGCAAAGTTTGAATAGATACTTCTCCAAAGGGTATATATACAGATGGCCAGTAGACATGAAAAAATGCTCAACATCACTAATCATCAGAGAGATGCAAATTAAAACTATAATGAAGTATCACATCACGCCTGCCAGAACGGCTGCCATCAACAAATCCAAAAACAAGTGCTGATGAGGGTGTGGTGAAAAGAGAACACAGTGAACTGCTGATGGGAATGCAGACTGGTGCAGCCACTGTGGAAACCAGTATGGAGCTTCCTCAAAAAATTAAAATGGAACTTCCTTTTGACCCCATGATTTCACTTCTGGGAATATATCCTATAAATTCAGAAACACCAATCAGAAAGAATTTGTGCACCCCTATGGTGCTATATACAATAGCTAAGTCCTGGAAACGGCCCAAGTGCCCATCAGTAGCTGAGTGGATGAAAAGTCGTGGTACATTTACACAATGGAGTACTACGTGGCTGTAAAAAGAAGGAACGCTTACCTTTGTGACAGCATGGAGGGGCCTGAGAGTATTAAGCTAAGTGAAATAAGCCAGTCAGACAAAGAGAAATACATACCATATGATCTCCTTAATATGTGGAATCTAATGAATAAAATAAACTGACAAAATAGAAGCAGGGGCATGGATATATAAAACAGACTGACAAATGTCATAGGGGAGGAGGATGGGGGCACTGGATAAAAGAAGGTGACGAGATTAGCCACAGAACATACATGCATAGCCCATGGACAGTAATGTGTGAAGACCAGAAGCAGGGGCGCGGAGGCTGGGTAGAAGTGAGTAAATGGGGTGAAAATGGAGAACATCTGTAATAGTGTCAACAATAAAAAAGAAAAAACAAACAGGAGGATGACCCAGGCGGGGCTAGGCTCTGCCAGCTCAGGGTGTGGCAGGAGCGAGGGTATGTGGAAGACTCAGCTGGCCAGGCTGGGCTCACAGGTCAGCCCACCTGTGCCCAGTGCATGCAGCTGTCTCTACTGGCCTTGGGCAGTGCCTGGTCCTGGGCCTCGGGGCCCTCCCTGGGTGCAGGGGTAGAGGGTGGGGTCCATGTGCTGATAGATTTAGATTCAGCATCTTCCTGAGGGTCGATCAGAGTCTTTGAGCTGTGAGTCCAGTGGCCACCAGGGTGACTTTGATGGGGTCTGCAGTGGGACACTGGTGTCTGGACTTGCACAGAGGACCTCCCTCGTGTGGCCCGGACACTGGAGACTCACAAGCCCCAGCTGGCCACTTGGTATCTCAGTCACCATCATCCCACTAACTCTTCCTCTCTTTCTTAGGGCGATTCTGGGAGCCCCCTCGTCTGTGACCTCTTCAATACCTGGGTTCTGGTGGGGCTGGCCAGCTGGGGCGTGGACTGCCGGCACCCCATTTACCCCAGTGTGTTCACCAATGTCACCTACTTCACCGACTGGATCAGTAAGATCCAGAGGCTCACGCCTCCTCCTGAGCCCACAGATGTTCCTCCTCAGACCCCATTTCCAAACGGGCTTCTGCGGGCTGTGGGCTCTCCAGGGCCCCACGCGGCCCTCATGCCCCCACGGACCTGGCTCCCCCTGCTGTCTGTGCTCAGGGCCTGGCAGCAGGCCCTGCAGTGACCCGCCCAGCCCCTCGCTCCTGCTGTCTGCCTCAGGCCCCAGCTCCATGTCCCCACCCCAGCCCCACCAGCCCTCAGTGCTTCCTTCTCCTTGGCTTTCCTGTCCCTCAGCTGCCACCCACCAAACCAAGCCTGGAAAAATAGAAACAAATAAAAGATGCATTCGTGTCCGGCCGGTGTGGCTCAGTGGTTGAGCGTCGACCCATGCACCAAGAGGTCGCCAGTTCGATTCCCAGTCAGGACACATGCCCAGGTTGTGGGCCCAATTCTCAGTGGGGAGTATGCAGGAGGCGGCCAATCAATGTTCTTTCTCATCAATGTTTCTCTCTCTCCCACTCCCTTCCTCTCTCTCTAAAATCAATAAAGAATATAAAAAATAAAAAAGTTGCATTCACCTTCTTGCTCCTTAGTACTCACCTCTTGCCTTGGGGTCAGTGGTCTGGCTCTGTGGGCAAGGATATAGGCCTGGTGAGGAGCCTGTCTCAGGAGGAGGGCAGAGGGGGCACGCTGGGGGAGCCAGGGTCCGAGCTTGGGAGAGAGTGGGGTGTCTGCACTCAGACTGTGCCCTTCTGGGGTGCACCCAGGCCTTCAGAGGCAGCGGATTAGTCAGCTCAGGCTGGGGGTGCAAATACCACAAACAATAGATGAAGAAAACCTGGGCAGCTTCCCAACAGGCACTGGTCATCTCTCAGCTCTGGAGGCGGGAGGTTTGAGGTCAAGGTGTGGGCAGAGTTGTTTCTCCTGTGGCCTCTCTCCTTGACTTGCAGACGGCCATCTTCTCCGTGTCCTTATGAGGTCCTCCCTCCGTGTGTGCCTGTGTCCTAATGTCCTCTTCTTATAAGGACACCCATCAGATTGGATTAGAGTCACCCTAGTGACCTCATTTTAACTGAATCACCCCATTAAAGATTTATTTCCAAATATAGTTACATTCTGAGGTGCTGGGGCTAGGACACCAACGGCCCATAACCAGAAGCAAGGCATTTGGCCAGGTGTCTGCAGTGCAGGGGAACAAGGATCTTCTTGGATGTAGAGACATCGCTGCTGGGTGTGGAGGAGGAGGACCAACTCCAGTGGAGAATGGGACAAGTTCCCGAGACAACTGAGCTAGACTAGGGGCCATGACCCAAACCCGGAGGACGGGGGCTCCAGCCCGTGGTATAACAGGCTCTCATATGTGGGGAGGGGTCTGGGAGAGTGAGTCAGAAGCAGACAGAGGAGGCCAAATGCCAGACTGAGAGCTAAGGTTTAGGCCCGCAGTCCTCAGACCTTTGCTTCTACAGTTGACTCCCAGCATCCTCCTCACCTGTCCCCATAGCCTCCACTCTCCCAACCTGAAGAGACCCAACCAACTTCCCACCTCCATGGTCCCCAACCCCATGTGAAACTGCTCCCTCTGCTGAAGGCCCCAGGCCAGCCTGCCCGAGGTGTCCACACACTTTCTGCAGTTGGACCTGGCGTCACCTCTTGTGCTCAGCTCACCCAGGACTTAGTGGCCAGGCAATAAGCCTTGAAGCAATGTCCTCGGTCATCCATCCGACCAGTCTGCCTGACACAGAGCTTTATGTAGCCATCAGACACCAGCAGGCCTCACAGTGTACCCAGCCTGGCTTTCAGAATTCTTGGGCGTGTGAGAATTCCTGAGCAGGTGGGAATTCCTGAGCATGCGGGAATTCCTGAGCGCGTGGGAATTCTTGGGAAGGTGGGAATTCCTGGGCAGGTGGGAATTCCTGGGCAGGTGGGAATTCCTGAGCACGTGGGAATTCCTGGGCAGGTGGGAATTCCTGAGCACGTGGGAATTCTTGGGAAGGTGGGAATTCCTGGGCAGGTGGGAATTCCTGGGCAGGTGGGAATTCCCGAGGATGTGGGAATTCCTGGGCAGGTGGGCATGTCCAGTAAAGACCAAATGCCAGTCATAAGGCTCAGTGCAAATTCTTTCTGATTCTGGCATATCCCAAAAGTCCTGGAACCTTTGTGTCAGGCAGACTGGTCAGAAGGATGACCGAGGACATTGCTTCAAGGCTTATTGCCTGGCCACTAAGGCAGGTGGAACCTCACAGGCAGGTGGCCACAAATGGGCCGACACGCCCGCTGACACCGAGATCGTGCTGGCTTGGAGGCCTCGAGATAGTGTCTTCCCAGTGCTCACCCGTCCCTCTGGCTGGAGCTCCTTCAGGGTGGTACCACTGCCCATAGCTGTACACCCATCAATGTCAGCCCTTAAGAGCTCACCAATTTCTGAAAGGAGGTTGTTGAATGTCCTCTCCCTTGGTGGTAAACTCAGTTATGGGGTCTCCGGAAAGGCTGCTCAGGCCCCTGGATGGCAGTTGAGTTGCCATGACAGCGTGTGGCTCACATACATCTCCCATTCACGTGATGAAACTTCCTGAGGAGCTGGAAATGTTATAAATCTTGATCCAGTCTAGGTGGTGCCTACACAGGAATACATTCATGTAAAAAGCCACTGAGCTGTGCTCTTAAGATCTGTGAATTTTACTTTATATAAGTTGTAATTCACATAAGCTCTAAAAATTTAAAACAACTTGCATTTATCTAACCACTGATGGTTTTATTTATTTATTTATTTATTTTTCTTTATTGATTTTAAAGAAGGAGGAAGGGAGAGGGAGAGAGAGAGGAAAAAAAACTTTGATGAGAGAGAACATCAACTGGCCGCCTCCTGCATGCCTCCCACTGGGGATTAGACCCACAACCTGGGCATGTGCCCTGACCGGGAATCAAACCAGAGACCTCTTGGTGTGTGGGTTGATGCTCAACCACTGAGCCATATCGGCCGGGCATCACTGATGGTTTTAATCATGTCTGCAAATTATTTGATACTCCTCCCTTCAAAATGTGGAGCTGAATTCCCTGTCCTTGAGGGAACAGAAGTGCTGCTAGGTGACTTCGGAGGCTGAGTCTTAGAAAGGACGGAGCTTGGACCCGGCTCCTCTCTTCCCAAACACTCGTTCTTTGGGGAGCCAGCGCCTTGTCAAGGAGACGCTCGAGCAGCCTTGCAGAGAAGCACCCACAGTGAGGAACCGAAGCCTCACCCCAGCAACCCGCAGCAACTTGAAGACATATGAACCGGCCAGCGTGCACACAGGTGTTCTGCCCACGACAGCCCCAGGTCCCTGCGGCCGTCACAGGCATCTTGACCATAACTCATGAGAGACCTGAAGCCAGAACTTCACGGTTAAGCTGCTCCCGAGTCCTGGTGCTGCAAAAACTGCCAGAGACACTAAATGTTTATTGTTGTCTTAAGCTCGTAGGTCCAAGCGCAATTTGTTACACAGCAATAGATGAGCGCTGCCTTCAGGGTAGGTTGTGTTCGAAGAATACTTCACAGCCGTAAATGATTGACATGGTCGAGGTTCTTTATACCTTAGATTCTAATTTGGAAAACCAGTGTTGAGTGCTAGGTAGAAGGTGTTATTTAAATTAAAACATACCTAGCTCTGAAAATTAAACAAATGCAAGTAATATTACATTGTTGATTTTCTGGCTGTTTCTGGCCATTAGTGGACCCCAGGTGAATACAGTCTGTGTGTGTTCAGAGCAGGGTTTCGACAGCCGTGGAGGGTGGGGTGGAACACACTATGGAGGAAGAATGAGAGAAGAACGAAAGCCGCCCCTCGGGAATTTTCCACAGCAGCAAACAAAGACTAGTGTCCCCTCTTGTCTAAGTGACAGTGTGACAACGAGCAAAGGTGGGAGCGGCCCCTTCTCTGTGGATAGTTCTTAGCCTCTAACCACGTGCGTTCTTGGTCTCATTACACTAATTTTGTTTTTCTACACTAGATTTCAGATTTCTAGAAGTCATTTTCTTGTTCGTGCCTTTGCAGCACCCAGAAGTCAGGTTGGTGCTCACGCTGCGCCAAGTGTCTGGAGAGGATGGTGTCCCTGTCCTCAGGCTGCCTGCGCTCAGGGGCACCTACGGCTTCTGGAAGGGGATGCGGCTGGTTGTCGTTACAGGACACAAAGCCGCCTCCACACGCCGCACAGTCGTCCATAGCAAAGACAGCAGTGCTCCTTCCGGCTTGGTACTTGGTGCAGGGAGGGAAACGTCACTCCCACAGCACCCCTGCGTTCCAGCCTCCGGGCTTTCCTTTCTGCGCCGCCTTCAGGACGAGCTGCGGCCGCCGCTGCTTCCCACGCACGGTGCTGTCGTCCGTGCCGCGCTCCCACGCAGTCCGCGCCCTCAACGGCCACTTCATTAAGTGAGCCCCTTAACATACACGCTCATGAAACATTTTAAGAAGAACGTATTTAAACGGTCAGTGCTGGGAATAAGTGAGCACCTGATGGTGGATATGTAAGAATTTTCCTCCAAAAAATCATGTGTCTTACTCCACAACCTCTGGTGGTTTTTCAGGGCATCGGTCGTCTCTGACAAGCAAGGAAACGTGAGAAGACAAGAATAAGGCCCTGGACAACCAGGCTGTCCGGTGCTCTGGGGCACGGCCGTCTCTGCCCACAGTGTGTCCTTGGTGCCTCACGCCCCGTGTGTCCGTGCAGGAAGCCCCTGCACACAAACACGGGGGGTGGGGGGGGAGGATCAGCAGGTTCCGGTGGCGGAATGCGAGCACCATTGGAAACTGTTCTCCGGCTGCCTGAGTTAGGCTTCAACAGAAGCATATTAATTTATAAGGATACAGAAGCAGAGGCTTTCACTATCAGGAGAGAGAATTTTGTAAGTAAGGATCAGAGTGAAATTAATGCTAAATCATAATGACGATTATTATTTTGAAAATAACATAAAACCCCCTTCCCCCTCCTAAACAGCTTGAAGTCCTTTTAGAATTAGGTGAAAGGTGAGGGCACTTAAGGTAAGATGAAGAAACCCTGAGATTTTCTTAAACAAAGGAACTTTGGAAAACGCGAGAAAGAAGTAGCTAGTCCAGGTCTGGAGATGTGCACGCACTGCTGTGTGGATAGAGCTACACGGCCTGTGCTCTGCTCCGGCGGGTGTGCAAAGAAATGAGCTGTGGCCAAGCGACA